ATAAAATGATCAACTAATATGAAACAGAACTACAGAATGAATAGTTACAACTAAAGTGAAAAAAGGAGTTCTTCACGAGAAATACTTCCGTTTGAAATATTCATTTATCTTTTTGTAACATTTACATCTAGACAAAAGTGAAAATATGATTATTATTTTTTTAATTCTCCAACATTATACTTTCCTTTTGCTTTTTCATGAGAAAAAGGTAAGATGCCTATATATGGTTTAAGTAAAGAATAAATTGGAAATTATGACCCATCTTCCCCTCACATTCAAGTGAAGTACTATTGAAGTAATTTTTTTTTTTTTTTTTTAAATATACTTATAAATAGAATTGAAGTGCTTGGTTAATTTGTCAATTTCCATCTTTTGAAGAAAAAAAAAAGACTTATAATTAATATTTACTCCAATCAAGGAACTGCATCAGCCAAATTCCAACCTATCAGGTACACCTACTTCTCCTCCTTCATTAGCTTTAATTTATATTTGATTCTTACAAAATAGTTAGAACTAGTAGTAAATAAATTGTTTAATAACACACGCACACAAAATTATATCGAGGGAAGGAAGAAAATGGGGAAATTATCATAAAAGATTAAAGTCATTCATTTAATAATTGAGATTTGAATCATTCAATATTTCATTTTTTTTTAATGGTAATTCTTGTTTGAAAGTTGGTAACATTAATATATGAAAGACATATTCTTTAGTTTTCTATCATCTTTAGATTTTTTTTTTTTATTGTTATCCAAATGAAAATTAATGATTGGATTACTATTCTATATCAGTTAAAGAGATACGTAGAGTTATTCTATTTTAATTGATAAAATGATATTAAGAAGAAAAAAAAATTCTTTCTACTTATTTATTAATTAAAGTTATTAGGGAAAAAAATAAGAATATGATTCTTTAAGAAAATAAGAATATGGTTCAAGATTGAAACGTATGCGATAACTCAACCACACAATTAACTTATTGATATTGTGTTATCAGATTAACACTCGATGAAGTTAATCAGACTTGGGTATAAAGAATTGACTTGGTTTATTGTCAGATGCTTTGTTCACTATAAATAATACTATTTTGTTCGGTTAGTGTGTCTATGTAGTTTAAAAAATAACTTATCAAAAGTGTCTATGTAGTTTAAAAAATAACTATAAAAAATGACACAGTGGGACACGACATGAAGTGTCTAAAATGAACAAGCTTAGTTGAGGTGTCTAAGTGAAAGTTGGTGCCAACTTTAGGAGGTCACCGATGGATTCAACCGATATTTTATTGATAATAAGCTAGCATATTAGTACATTTAAAGTTGTTAAATAAGTCAAACCGTTGAGTGTAATTTTATCCGTTCAATAAGCAACCCTCATTAATGTATCAAACAGACATTCTTAAGGCTTAAAAAATGTCATTAAATCGTGCGAAATTGAACAAAAATGTCCTAAATTAATAATTTGTTCCAAAAAAGTAATTGCTGGTCCAAGTAAATCTATTATTCATTTTTTTAATATAGAAAATGGTTATTCTACTTCAATTAGAGTTTTTTTTTAATTATTTCTTTATAAACGCATTATTTTAAGGGAAAATAGTCAAAAATGTCCCTAAACTATGAAGTGATTAAAAATACCCTCCGTTTATCGTTTGACTCAAAAATATCCTTGCCGTCAATACTTTGGTTCAAAAATGTCCTTGTCGTCAATAGGTCTAGAAATTAAATGCCCCTATGAGTCAAAAATGCTCCTTTTTGAATAAATATATATTATACTTTTTCTTTTTAAACACATCTTCTTCCTAATTAAAATATATTCAAGACTCATATTCTTGTTTTCTTTCTTTTAAAATCACTTTAACAAATAAAAATGTAGGAAATAATTTTTTCTTCTTAATCTCATTTTATCAATTAAAATAGAATAACTTCATTGTACCCTTTTGACGAATAATATTTCATATATATAAGATCATAGTATATCCATCATTAATTTTTATTTATATAACAATAAAAAATAATTATAATAAAATAAGAAATATTTTTATTTTTTATTTTTTTCTGAATTAAAGTAGGGTAAACATTTGCTAATTTTAAAAAAATATTATTAGAAAAAAAATGTGTTAAAAAGAAAATAAATGATATATTTATTTGGAAAATGACATTTTTGACCCATGAAATTACAATGAGGGCATTTTTGGACCAAAGTATTGACGACAAGGGCATTTTTGGATCAAATCATAAGGGAAGACATTTTTGTTCATTTCACATAGTTTAAGGGCATTTTTTTTTTTTACCATTTTTCCTTCTTTTAATAATAATAACAACTTTTTATAGTAAATGATTGACCTACTTTAATTCGAAAAAGATTAAGAAATAAAAAATATTTTCTGTTTTATTAGAATTTTTTGAATGTTAACCAAGAAAAATTAATGATTTGATTACTATGATCTTATATATATGACCTATAGTATTGTTTAAAAATAAACATAGACTTATTCTATTTTAATTGATAAAATAAAATTTTAAAAAAAAATTCTTTCCTACTTATTTATTAATTAAAGTTATTAGAAAAAGCAAGAATATGATTCTTTAAAAATAATATTTTTATCAGGAGTAGAATGTGTTGATAAAGTAAAGAAATAATATATTATTAGAAAAATGGCATTTTGACCCATTAAGTAAAGAAATATATATTCTTTAAAAGATAAAAAAATTTACCCTCTTCTGAATAAATTCTAATGAAAACATATAGATATTTAAACTTATTCATAAAACAACATATTATGTTATATATAATTATAAAAAAAAAATATGTATATGATTTTTTTTACTAAATAAAATATACCAAATATTCTTAAAAACCAATCTAGAACAGGCAAGACTTTTTGGAAAGCTTGGTCAAACACAATCTACTTATTAATTATCAAAAAAGAGCAATTCTCAAAGGAGTGATCAAACACAAACTGCTTTTCTTCATAACTGTTATTGTAAAAATATGCAGTTTTTGAGCCTTGAGAATTGGAATTCTTCCTTTTTATTGAAGCAGAGAGAAAAGAAAAACAAAAGATGGGAGAAATTGTTCTTTCTGCAGTTATCACCAAAGCAACAGAAGCAGCTGGAAATCTACTCCTTAAAAAATGGTTAAATTTGAATTCATTAGAAGAGAGCATGAATTGGCTCAAAACAGAAATGGTGCAAACTCAGTCTTACATTATTGATGCAAGGACCAAATTAACTCAAGGAGATTCAAGGGTCAAAAACTTGATCAAATATATTGAACAACTTGCAGGTGATGCTGACGACATCTTAGATGAATTCCTTCCCAAAATTGAACGCAAAGGAACAATTGGTTGTCGCGTTTGTAATGTTACTTCTGCCTGTTAGAATATGCACAACGGAAGCTATATTCAGGAGCACAAATCTTACATATAGACTAAACAATATAACATAAACGAATTTAGAAGAGCACTAACATGTTGAAACTTCTACAAAAGTCGTCCAGATGACAAGGATCCAGAGCTACGATCTTCTCCTATTTCCTGATTGACTGTTACTACCAAGTTACTTGTGTGGGCAAGTATTACTTGTTTTTCAAAAGATAATTTCTTTCATGCCACATCCAGCCTATTTATCTAGTTTTCCAACTCAAGAATGAATAGGAAAAACGTCCAAATAAATTTCAGGCTTAATTAGCAATCAAGAGGATCATGAGAATAAATTGAGATAAAAACGTTTTCATCCATTAAAGGCCAAACGTTTTTGTAATAAGAACAAAAACGTTTTCATCCATTAAAGGCCAGACGTTTTTGTAATAAGAACAAAAACGTTTTCATCCATTTAAGGCCAAACGTTTTTGTCACTAACTCAATCTTTAATTCTCAAATAATTCATCCTTTAAAGAAGATCAACAATAAAATTAATTTGTCCTTCTTTTCAAACTTGGTCAATTAATCAGGCATAGTAGGGACCGTAGATATATTTAATAGAGGCTTCCAACTACGATAATAATTCTCAAATGAACGAATTAACCATATCGCAATAAATTACAAAGTATTCCACTAAAATTCTGTAATTGCACTCCTCGATTTAATTTCGAAATCTACCACTACATCTTATTTAACCCCCCATGTTAGAATTACCGACACCAATCAATTAAATCAAAATTATCTGAAAATTTAATTCATTGACTAAATTAATCCTTTATTATATTTACTTAACTTATTTCACGTGACGGATCTAAAATCCACCTGCAGGGTTTTCACGTGAAAACTTATAAGTAATCATAAAGGGGTGTCTTCAACTCGGGTCCGAGACACGGTTTTATCAACTAATTATTATTTCACTAATGTAATTTGTCATTATCTAATCTATTAGGAATTTATTGACTCATCAAAAAGTCTCACCTTTTAATAGATTAAAACAATAAATAAATTACATAGATCATAATAATTATATCAAGATTGAGAGTATAAGTACATGTAGTGGACTAGAGAATTTATTTATAAATATTCAGAACATAAACAAATGTCTCTAATTGGTCCGTTCAATACATACAAAATGTACTAGCACAAGAAGTTGAATTTAACCATTCTCATAATTAAGATCAAATTATATTTAATCTTGTGCTACGATCATCAAGATGTTCGTCCTACTTCATCTTTGATCGTGAACATAAATTTATAACTTATATGCACCAACAATTTTAATCTTCCGTGTATGAGTTAAAATACTCCATACACAAAATTGTCTACTATATAAGTAATGGACACACACATATACATAATGATCTATTTAAACAAAAATTTATTATATTAAATAAATAACATAAAAAATCTTTACAAGGGATTAAATAAAAAATACTATAACACAATTACATGGTTTATAGTATATCCCAACACTGCCAACAAGTTTGTCGCAGAGATTGAAAAGATAAAAAGAAGGGTAGCTGAGATTGATCGTTTGAGAACAACTTATGGTATCACTGATACAAGTAACAACAACAATCAACATGACTGCATTTCAAGTTGTCGCATACATGACTTGTTTGGCTGAGGATATTCTAAATGATTTGGTTTCTAGAAACTTGATTCAAGTTGCCAAAAGGACATACGATGGAAGAATTTCAAGTTGTCGCATACATGACTTGTTACATAGTTTGTGCGTCGAATTGGCCAAGGAAAGTAACTTCTTTCACACTGAACACAATGCATTCGGTGATCCCGACAACATTGCTAGGATTCGAAGGATTACATTCTACTCTGATAATATTGCCATGAATGAGTTCTTCCTTTTAAATCCTAAGCCTACGAAGCTTCGTTCACTTTTCTGTTTCACAAAAGACCGTTTCATATTTTCTCAACTGGTTCATCTTGACTTCAAATTATTGCAAGTGTTGGTTGTAGTCACGGCTCAAAATGTTTATGAGCGTCTTACTATCCCAAACAAAATTGGGAACATGAGTTGCCTACGCTATGTGCGATTGGAGGGGGGAATTAGAGGAAAATTGCCAAATAGTATTGTCAAGCTCAAATGTCTAGAGACCCTGGATATAATTCATAGCTATATCAAACTTCCTTTTGGTGTTTGGGAGTCTAAAAAATTGAGACATCTTTGTTACAGAGAAGAATGTTACTGTGTCTTTTTTGGAAGTCCATTTTGCCGAATCATGCCTCCTAATAATCTACAAACTTTGATGTGGCTGGATGATAAATTTTGTGAACCGAGAATGTTGCACCGATTGATAAATTTAAGAAAACTGGGTATATGGAGAGTATCTGATTCTACCATTAAGATATTATCAGCATTGAGCCCTGTGCCTAAAGCGTTGGAGGTTCTAGAGCTCAGATTTTTCAACAACACGAGTGAGCAAATAAACTTGTCGTCCCATCCAAATATTGTCAAGTTGGTTATGTTTGGTTTCTCAGCAATGCTCTTGAACATTGAAGCATTCCATCCAAATCTTGTCAAGCTTACTCTTGTCGGCTTGATGGTAGACGGTAATCTATTGGCAGTGCTTAAGAAATTGCCCAAATTAAGGATACTTGGATTGCATAGCTGCAAACATGATGCAGAAAAAATGGATCTCTGTGGTGATGGTGATAGCTTTCCGCAACTTGAAGTTCTGCATATTGAGGATGCACGCGGGTTGTCTGAAATAACGTGCATGGATAATATGAGTATGCCTAAATTGAAAAGGCTATCACTTGTTAAAGGCCCAATCATTTCCCCAATTAGTGTCACGACCCGATTTCTTAAGTCATGATGGCACCTACTATAACCCACCAGTAGGTAAGCCAACCCGTAACCCGAAACAACAAGTAATGGGTCTGAGGGTGGAAACTAAACAAGAGTAGGCAAATAACAATATAAACAGGCGGAAGCAAACCAAAAACATATATACAAATAAAGATCCCTCCCAGAACCTGGAAGTCACTTGTACAGAGTTACTAACAAAATGAGTACAAGTCCCAAAAGTGGACAACAGAGACTGGACTGTCTCGAAAGGAAAAAGACAAGTTTATATATACAGATGGAGACTGAAATAGTACAAAACGCCGTGTGCTCACCCCCGTCTCCGGATCAGACTACTCCAAGCTCGATCAACGCTGGCTACTAGTGCCCGGACCTGCATCACGAAATAGATGCAGAGAAGTAGCATGAGTACCAAAACAACCGGTACCCAGTAGACATCATAGGCCGACTGAACTTGAAAAGTAAAGGCAATATGAAAAGAAGGAATAACACAAACCGAAGTCAAGAACTAAAATCTAACTAACAAGGGAATGCACACGAGTGTACAAAGAACTAACTAAAGTAATCTATAAGCTAACTACACCTAACTGGGGCCCCATAAGCCCAGAAGGTACACTCGTGCGCAAGTTAAATAAAACCCGAACGGACCCCCATAAGCCCGACGAGTACACAGGATAACTATAACTAAAGAGAATTGCATAAAAGAACACAAGAACGAAGAACATCGAACAGGAACCTCAACCCTAATTAGTAAAATCTGACAGTACGGAGGCCGGACCTCGAACCGGATGCTCACCAGAAGTACCCGAGTAACCAATCACAAGTATCAAGTATAAGAGGCCGGAACTCTAACCGGATGCTCTATATAGGTATCTGAGCAATAGAGGCCGGACCTTAAACCGGATGCTCTATGTAAGTATCTGGGCAATAGAGGCCGGACCTTAAACCGGATGCTCTATAAATGTGCCAATGTAGCAGCTGAAAGAGTCCTAATCGATCCACACTCATAAATATCCACGGAACGTCGTCCATACTTAGCCAATCAATGTAAGTCCTTGGAACCAAATCAAAAATCAAATTCAAATCGCGAAGTAGAACTAGTGTCGCCGATGTAACTCGTGAAGCCGTAACATCGGGGAAAATAAGGATAACTAAAGTCGGAGCAAGCGTATCGCCTAACTAAGGCCCAATCTATCAGACTCAAGTCTGCTACACCAGTCTACAGGGATCTAAGTCGGCCGAGCGACGTCGGGGCAAAACTAAAGCCTATTGGATCCGAATAATGTATTTCTAAGGCAAGCCTTAGTCAAACCTAAACTAAGGCCCAACATGCTTCAAATAAACAATAATTAAGCATGCAAGCACTCCAAATAGCGAGGAGGGTCCGTTAATAACACAAAGCATGCTCACAGTTACCCGATAATTCCCGAAATAGGCTGAAAATATGATTTCTTAACACCTATGCAGGATTCAATAACTACCCAACCCAAATCCCAACTAATCAACATGCATTCACATTCTCGAGCTCAATCTAAGAGAGGGAAACCGTAGCCTACCTTAAAGCCGATCACACGTGCTCCAAAATCACTTCTCCGGAGCTTTTCCTTTCCGAACGGTCTCGAAACGCTTCCCCGCTATCAAAAATAGTAACACAATGTTAATACGGTCGTTTAGACACCAAAATCACAACAAACGGAGACGGGTCAATTTTGGAGTCAAAACGGGAATCGTGGGACCCGCGCAGGAAATTCCGAAATTAACCCAAAAGTGGGTCCTAACCATTTCCCCCAGCTCATGTCCCAAAATGGAACACAATTCGGGGCTCGGGAACAACACAATATCAACAAGCAACTAAAACCCAAATTTTCTCAAAAATTAGAAATGGGACAACAGCTAATTCTGCGTATTTACCAAAAACGGGCGATCTACAGTAAAATCTAACAACACCACAATGTTCTCCTCGAAAAACCACTCAAGATAGCCTCAAAATCACCAAAATCGGATCTAAAATGTCTAAGAAAACAAGTCTAAAAAATTTCCAAAATCAAGCTCACAAAAAGAGGTCTGACAGCAGGTATTTTTCGAAAATTACCTCAAACGGGGACTCCAAATCACTATCCGAGCTCACCAACACGTTGTCCTCGAAAAATCTCACAACTTAGCCTTTTGAATCACCCAAATCGGTTGAGAGATGAGAGAGAGATGGGGGTTTGAAGTTTGGGAAAATTGGCTGATTTTCTGCAATTTCCCAAAACTTAAAATTCCGACGGGGTGCTCCGAACTCGTTCGGAACCCCGTGCACGCAAACGAGATATGCAACCATACCAAATTCGATATTCCAGACTCAACGGCGCAGTCGAAATTTTCATCAGAGGTCATTTAGATAAAAAGTGGGTCCCACTTCCAAAAGCCATTTTAAGGCAAAACCCACAAAAGGGCTCGAAAAGATATCGAAAACCTCCAGACACAAAAGAAGGGTCAATCTAGACCAAACTCGACATTCCGGAGCTAACCACGTTGACGGAATTCTCATCCGAGCGCGTTTACTCAGAATGTTGACCAAAGTCAAACTTAAGCCAAATTTCAAAGGTTAAAACGCCTAATCGCACCGACTCACATTGAAAACCTCGGGAGTCATGTCGACCATGCTACTAGCCTAAAATGACCCTTCCGGAGCTGATGGAATCGTCAGAATTGGATTCCGATGTCATCTTCTCGAACTTTTGATCGAAAATGATCGTTCAAGGTTCATAAGCTCCAAAACACAAAAACTCACACCAGGACCAAACGAACGACCAGGTGACCGAACTGTCAGTCCCAGCAAGTCATAAATGACTTGGGGTCGCTATAGGAACGCTCTAAATGACACACAGAAGGCAAGACACAGAAATGACCAAGAGGGTCATTACAATTAGTCTCAGGGTCTCGGAACGGCTTGCAATGTTGAGAATCTAAAAATCTCACAGGTACAATAAATAATTAGTTACGTTTAATATCCATGATTTTTTGAAATTTGTATTTAGTTCATCAACTAAATATTCCATCTCTAATAAATTGCAGGGATGCCTTTGAAAATGATTAAGTCTGTGTTGGAGAGAATCTTCTGATGCCTGTTGGTATTATAATACTAATAATAAGAGAAAGTTTGATTGCTGTTTCAAGTTAATTGCTTGTGATTTGTAAAAACAAATTAATATTGTATTTCTCTTTGTTTTGTTTTATGTTTATTTATCTTTAATTAATGGAGTAATAAAATAAAATTCTTATTCTCAATAGAAAAATGTGGACCTTATTTGTGGTGTATGTATGGTATCTTTTTGAAAATTTTGATATATTTACTCTTTGATTCTAATTTCTTGCTTATATGATGATTTGCATTGTTGACACCCAATTTTGACCATCCACGATAGGAATTAATTTTGAGTTTCTTAATTTTTATATGATTTAAAATAATTGTCTTTATAATTCAAAATATGTTGCAAGTTAGTTTTTAAATAGTTTTGTCACCTTTTATAATTTTTAAAATATATATGTATATTTTGAATTATATAAATATTCGAAAATCGTCTCAAAAGGTTGTTTAATTAAATATTTAGTTAGTTTGCTTAGTTATTTAATAGTTTATAATTCGGAGTTAATTAGTGTTTGATAAAATTTATTTTATATATAGTCAAATTAATTGCTTTATTTCGTGAAAGTTAAGAAGCTCGTAAATTAATTATATTAACCCGTCTTATTTGACTTCTAACCGTCTATCCTAATTAACTAAGAATTGGCTATACCCTTAATTCCCAATTGGCTATGGTTTAGACCTATATGGTCAAAACCTTAAATCCAATTCACATGTTCAGCTTAAAAAGATCAATTTGGGCCTTTCTTTTTAAATTTGCCAGCATTCCCAAATCTCAACAACGCAGGCCCACTTACAATTCCCAGCCAACTAACTCCAGCCCATTCTTCCTATTCAATTTTGTACCCGTACCCGGCCCGAATCTCTTCAACAGAGGATTCCAAATCCTTCACGTTGAGAACGTCAAACAGAGGCAGCATACACGGAGGTTCCACATAATTCCAAACGGCGTCCTATCTCCAAAGTTTACTGCTCAAAATACGACAAGGAACCCAGCTTCAACGTTCACAAGGAAGGACACGGCGTCAAGTAGACGGAGGCAGTACACTGTGTCTCCTCTGTCTTCTCCCATGTCCCTCTCAAATTACAGTCACAGCAGGCATGCGTTTCTCCCCTTTCCTCTTTCGGAATGGGGAGAAAATTTTAGAAAAGCATGTCTCCCCCAAATTGGTGAAAGAATTCAAATTTTGAATTCGTGATTGACCCCAAATTTCTACCCGAATTCCCCCCAAAATCTACCCTTTTTTTCCTATATAATCATCATCTCCTCTATTATTTTGTAAAGGGGATTTTTTTTGGGGGGAGTAGATTTTATTTTATTTTTGAGCAAAAAACATACACAGAACATCTTAAGTAAAAAATAGGAAGTTACATACGAGAAACATTTGAAGAGAAGCAGAGGAAATAACTAAGGACATTCTAAGCTTCATTCTTCTATCTTTGCTTGCCATAAGTCTGATTGAGGGAGATATCCTGTTCGGATTCTTCGACTACTGTTAGCGTTCGAGTTGTCGTGGTGAAGGTCGTCGCTCAACTCGTCGTCGTCTCCATTTCGCTGCACCGGAAAAGGTAACATTTTTATTATTATTTTATTTTTCTTCCTCAAACAAGGCGTATTCTTTTTTTTTTTTTTTTTTTTTTTCCTAAAGGGGGTCAGCTTCATTATCACCTTGCTACATGTTCTTGATATAATATTGAATGTGGCAGAATGTCGGCGAGATTTGCTAAACGCGGCTGGGACTTCTCTTTAGTTGTTGTTAGCGGCGTTTAGTTCGAATTGACTTATGCTTTTGCTTCTGTTATTCGACTCTTCACCTTATTTGTTTGGTATGGTTCGAGTCTGATTTCCGGTGTTTCTCGGGATGTAGTTGTGGTCATTTTCGAAATAGTCGTTTTATTCCATGTTTGTTTGCCTAAGATGAATCTATATTATCGCCTAATCTCTGATGTCATATTCTTCATTTCTTTGTTTCTTATTATCGCTTTTCGAGTCACAAGGCGTGGTGTATTAAGTCTCTTTTTTTTTGTGGTTGTTATCTCATTATCGTGGCTTTCGAATCCCTCCTATTATGTGTATGTTGGCTCATATTTTCCAAACTGGAAGTGAGTTAGGGAAAGCACGTGAGAGTTAAAGTGTTGCAGTATTTGGTCATTTAAATTTCTTCGAAGTAGTCGGTCTTTTCTTTTCTTGTTTTGTGAAATTGGGTCTGTTCACTCAGTTTATGAAGAAGTGAATCAATAACCTTGTTCGTATTTGAGGGTCGCTATGTCCATCATCTTAGTCTGTTTGGCTGATCGTGTTCATGAACGAATGACTAGTTATTCCCCTTGATTAACATTGGTATTGTAAATCGAAAGTTGGACATGGCCAAAATATGTACATCATGCTTTAAATGATCTTACAGTATTGTTTCTTTATTAGCACACATGACACATTTGCCTGCTATCTAATTTTATTTCCATTTTTATGTTATTTTATGCTAAAAACGTGTCTATACAGTATGATAGTCACAATATGTCATAGTAGTGTTTTCTTGGATTACATTATATATATATATATATATATATATATATATATATATATATATATTTGATGGCCATTAGATCATCATTTCATCATTGTTAACTGTATAAAAATGTGGCAGCCCCCTTATCCCTTTATCTTTAGTATACTAATTACTATTCCCTTTGTCGTTGCATGTGAAATTTATTCGGGTCGCCACGGACCCTATTCTCGCATTTCCAAAGGGGCCCTAAAGGCCCCAAATTTCTTTATTTGAGCCAGCCAGCCATCAAATCGACGTACAAGGCCTCAGATTTGAAAGGATTCGAAGCAAAGAAGAATCGAAAGATTGGGCCAAATGCCCACTCTTTGCACAAAAGAAATTTGTATTTCGTTATTTTGGGCCTAATCCCATTTATTGTAATTATTATTATTTGTTAGTTAATAGGACAGGTACAAGGAGACAAGAATTGGGCCAAAGGCCTAAAGAGAAACAAAATTCAAAGATTAATTTAGGACAGGAGTCGAATATTGGGTCTTTGGTCCCAAAACGAAAATGGGCCCAAATACTGGTCCAGGCGGACAGAAACCAGATCTGGGCCCAAATCTCTCTCTCTCTTTGTTTTATTATGCCTCCTTACTTGCTAATATTTGTCATTAACCTTAAGGTCAACAATTCAAATCCCCGAGAGACGTTCATTTTAATTTAACAATTTAACAAAATCGGTCATCTCTTAACAAAACTTAAAGAATAAATGTTGCAAATTATCTCACTTAGATAATATTCCCGTATCTCCCCCCTTTCCCCTTTTTTTCTAAAACTGTTCAATTCAAGTCAAATTAAGTTAAACGATTTTAGCCAAATAAATTAGTTGTCGGATAACCGCATTAGCGGATATTCTAGGTGCTTTAAAAACCTTCCTAGAATATTAATAGGAACCTCGAACCCCTTTAATAGTTTTCAATAGATTTACTGTTTTAGTCTTTTGAAAACAATAGTTTTCTTGATTTTTCTTAAAAATTAAGTGGCGACTCTAAACCAGTTCAAAATATATTTTCCAAATATAACATGCATAAATATAAAATATTATACAAATACCTATGGGTTGGAAAATATAGAAATATGCCAATCAAATGTATACAAAAAAATCATTAATAGATAGAATCGTAAAAGATATACAAATGAGAAATGCTAGAGTAAGAAGCTTCTTTCTACTTATTTATTAATTAAAGTTATTAGAAAAAAAATAAGAATATGGTTCAAGATTGAAACATATGTGATAACTCAACCACAAAATTAACTTATTGATATTGTGTTATTAGATTAACACTCGATGAAGTTAATAAGACTTGGGTATAAAGAATTGACTTGGTTTATTGTCAGATGCTTTGTTCACTATAAATAATACTATTTTGTTAGGTTAGTGTGTCTATGTAGTTTAACAAATAACTTATCAAAAGAGTCTATGTAGTTTAAAAAAAGGGAAAATTGTGCATAATGGCAAACTATTAATTGAAAATAAATAATATAGCTATTGTTTCATTTATTTCCTTTGAGTAGCTACAATTTATCATATCTTGCTACTGACGGGTCCCACAGATTAAAAAAAAACGGAAGTCATTTCCTTTATACAATTCACTTCATCTCTTTCCTCTCTCCCATACTCTTCAATTTCTCCTAAATTCTCTCCACAAAATCAATTTAAATTTCAAATCTTCACTACTACGCGATTTCAAAAATTTCAGGTACCTCCAAAACCTCTAAAAAAAAATTCCCCCAATTTTTCCCTTATTTCTTTAACTTTCATATGAAATCATAATCCATACAGATTTTTCACTTATACAATGGATGAACATTTTCCTTGGGTCTAACTCAGAATTTTGTAGAGGTTGCAGGTTCAATAGCCAAATTCAAAGAAATTAAAGACATCAGATCCAAATTTAAGAATGACCCAATCAGATTGGGTGAAATTTGTGCAAAATCGAAGCAATCTGAAATTGTTGAGGGAAGTGACAAAGATCAGTACAATGCTAGTTCAAGTAAGAAGAGGAAAGGAAAAGCAATTGTCTATTAGAATTGTTTCTCGCTCATTGTAGCAAGATAAACATGAAGAAGTTCAGGTATTTGTATAATCATTAATTTGTATATGTTACAATTGTATATTAGTCTCTGTAAATTTTCCCCTATATCTATTTGTTTATACAAACTTATTGTATAAATAGCGGTAGTTATTATAACAATTTTACCATATATACAATATTAACAATTATACAATTGAAATGTTTTGTATAATATATAATATCCACATAAAACATGTTTATATTATATTCAGATAAAATTAGTGTTATACAGAATGCCTATATGTACTTTTTTATATGTTTATTTATACAGATCTGTATTTTTTTAGCCATTAGGTGTAATGTACAAACTTTCTCCATTAATAGAAGTACAATAATCTCACTACATATACAATACAAATGATTATACAATTGAAATGTGTTGTATAATGTATAATCTTATTTATAAAACTTGTATAGGATAAATTGAATTAAATCTTATTTTATACAATTCGCTAATTGTATTTGTGTCATATTTATACACAGTAAGTCATAGTTATGTATATATGTATATTTGAGTAAAACTGTATATGTATTATTTTTCAAGGTGTTAAATTTCTAGGCAAACGTGTACTCAGTTACAATGGAGTCACTACTGATGAAGAAGTCGTAGAAGGAAAGAGATCTTTTTGTGTGAGTCTAGCGATTGTCTTTTTTTTTAACAGAATTTACAGCCTTTTATTAAATTTATTTAGAAAATAAAATTGTAAATAGCTTCAAATGAATCCTGAAATATACAGATTAATAGTTCCATAGCAAACATAAAATTTGCTATGGAGCGCAATTATGCAAACTATAACTATAAGATACAAATATGATTTTTACGTTTGCTATATGTGAAAGTTGTTCTTTAAAAAATAACATATCAAATATGACACAGTGGGACACGATATGAAGTGTCTAAAATGAACAATTGTAAATAGCTTCAAATGAATCCTGAAATATACAGATTAATAGTTCCATAGCAAACATAAAATTTGCTATGGAGCACAATTATGCAAACTATAACTATAAGATACAAATATGATTTTTACGTTTGTTATATGTGAAAGTTGCTCTTTAAAAAATAACCTATCAAATATGACACAGTGGGACACGATATGAAGTGTCTAAAATGAACAAAGTTTAGTTAAGGTGTCTAAGTGAAAGTTGGTGTCAACTTTAGGGGGCCACCGATGGGTCCAGTCGATATTTTATTGGTAATTAGCTAGCATATTAGTACATTTAAAGTTGTTAACTGATAAGTCAAACCGTTGAGTGTAATTTTATCCGTTCAATAAGCAACCCTCGTTAATGTATCAAACAAACATTCTTAAGGCTTAAAAAATGTCATTAAATTGTGCGAAATTGAACTGCCCTAAATTAATAATTTGTTCCAAAAAAGTCATTGTGGTCCAAGTACATATATTATTCATTTCTTTTTATATAGAAAATGCTTATTCTACTTCAATTAGAAAAAAATAATTATTTTCTTTATAAACACATTATTTCAAGGAAAAATAGTAAAAAATGTCCTTAAATTATGTGAAATGATTAAAAGTACCCTATGTTTATATTTTGATTCAAAAATACCCTTGCCGTCAAAACTTTGGTTCAAAAATGCCCTTGTCGGCAATACTTTGGTCCAGAAATTCCCCTATAGTTACTAAATGAGTGAAAAATGCCTCTATAGTTACTAAATGAGTCAAAAATGCCCTTTTTTGAATAAATATATATTATACTTTTTCTTTTTAAACAAATCTTCTTCCTAATTAAAATATTATTCAAGACTCATATTCTTGTTTTCTTTCTTTTAAAATCACTTTAACAAATAAAAATGTAGGAAATGATTTTTTTCTTCTTAATCTCATTTTATCAATTAAAATAGAATAACTTCATGTACCCTGTCGATGGATAACATATTTCATATATATAAGATCATAGTATATCCATCATTAATTTTTATTTATATAACGATAAAAAATAATTATAATAAAATAAGAATTTTTTTTTTTTTTTTTTTTGTGAATTGAAGTAGGATAAACATTTGCTAATTTAAAAAATATATATAATTAAAAAAAGAATGTGTTAAAAAGAAAATAAATGATATATTTATTTGGAAAATGAACATTTTTGACCCATGAAATAACAATGAGAGCATTTTTGGACCAAAGTATTGACAACAAGGGCATTTTTGGATCAAATCATAAACGGATGGCATTTTTGTTCATTTCACATAGTTTAAGGGTGCTTTTGACCATTTTTCCTTCTTTTAATAATAATAAGTTTTTATAGCAAATGATTAATCTACTTCAATTCGAAAAAGATTAAGAAATAAAAAATATTTCCTATTTTATTAGAATTTTTTGAATGTTAACCAAAGAAAAAATAATGATTTGATTACTATGATCTTATATATATGACCTATAGTATTGTTTAAAAATATACATAGACTTATTCTATTTTAATTGATAAAATAAAATTAACAAGAAAAAACATTTCTTTCCTACTTATTTATTAATTAAAGTTATCAGAAAAAAAAGAAGCAAAAATATGATTCTCTAAAAGTAATATTTTTCTGAGGAGTAGAATGTGTTGATAAAGTAAAGAAATAATATATTATTAAGAAAATGACATTTTGACCCATTAAGTAACAATAAGAACATTTTAAAACCAAATTTCATATAATTCAAGATAAAAAAAAATTGACCCTCTTCTGAATAAATTTTAATGAAAACATATAAATATTTAAACTTATTCATAAAAACAACATATTATGTTATATATAATTATAAAAAAAAATATGTGTATAACTTTTTTTACAAAATAAAAATCAAACCAAATATTTTTAAAAACCAATCTAGAACAAGCAAAACTTTTCGGAAAGCTTGGTCAACCACAATCTACTTATTAATTATTGAAAAAAGCAATTCTTAAATGAATGATAGAACACAAATTGTTTTTCTTTAAAACTGTTATAGTAAAAATATGCAGTTTTTGAGTCTTGAAAATTGGAATTCTTCCCTTTTATTGAAACAGATCGAAAAGAAGAAAAAACAAAAGATGGGAAAAATTGTTCTTTCTGCAGTTATCACCAAAGCAACAGAAGCAGCTGGAAATCTACTCCTTGAAAAATGGTCAAACTTGAATTCATTAGAAGAGAGCATGAATTGGCTCAAAACAGAAATGGTGCAAATTCAGTCTTACATTGTTGATGCAAGGGTCAAATTAACTCAAGGAGATTCAAGGGTGAAAAGCTTGATCAAATATATTGAACAACTTGCGGATGATGCAGACGACATCTTAGATGAATTCCTTCCCAAAATTGAACGCAAAGGAACAATTGGTTGTCGCGTTTGTAATGTTTCTTCTGCCAACAAGTTTGTCGCAGAGATTGAAAAGATAAAAAGAAGGGTTGCTGAGATTGATCGTTTGAGAACAACTTATGATATCACTGATACAAGTAACAACAACAATCAACTTGACTACATTCCGTTGGACCAGAGAGGATTATTCCTTCATGCTGATGAAACAGAGGTCATCGGTTTGGATGATGACTTCAATAAGCTACAAGCCAAATTACTTGATCATGATTTGCCTTATGGAGTTGTTTCAATAGTTGGCATGCCCGGTTTGGGAAAAACAACTCTTGCCAAGAAACTTTTTAGGCATGTCCGTCATCAATTTGAGTGTTCGGGATTGGTCTATGTTTCACAACAGCCAAGGGCGGGAGAAATCTTAACCGACATAGCCAAACAAGTTGGACTGACGGGAGAGGAACAGAGGCGTATCCAGGATTTCCGCAAGATGGGTGCACAATTACAAAAAAATGTATCTTAAATATAAATTTGATCAGTTTTACTTTTAGGTTTTTAATATGAACCATTAAATTTTAAAAATTATAGGTCCAAAACATATTATGCTACTAGTTTTAAATTTTAATATACACATTTGATTTAATTATATAAAAAATTTACAGTGCTAATTTTTTTAGGAATTTTCAATGTAACACACTTGAAAATTTTGAAAGATTAAAGGAAAAAAACAAAAGAATAATTAGTTGAAACGCCAAAAGTGTAACCAATAACCTCTTAGAGAGGTGTTAGTAAAAGACAAGATAGATATAAGATTTAAATTTCTATCCTCACTTAGAGGGGTACACCCAATCATCATCGTATTATTATATGATACTTTGAACGTGGGTTCACACATCTATATTTAAATATTTTATAAAAAATATAACACTACTATATATGATCTAGAGAGGGGAGCATGGGTTCACGTGAACCCACATCACCCCCTCTAGATACGCCCCTGGAGAGGAAAGGAAAGAAAACTTGGAGAACAACCTACGATCACTCTTGAAAATAAAAAGGTATGTTATCCTCTTAGATGACATTTGGAATATTGAAATTTGGGATGATCTAAAACTTGTCCTTCCTGAATGTGATTCAAAAATTGGTAGTAGGATAATTATAACCTCTCGAAATAGTAATGTAGGCAGATACATAGGAGGGGATTTCTCAATCCACATATTGCAACCGCTAGATTCAGAGAATAGTTTTAAACTCTTTACCAAAAAAATCCTTACTTTTGATAATAATCATTCAGTTGACTTGGTAAATATTGGTAGAAGTATAGTTGGTAGATGTGGTGGTATACCACTAGCCATTGTGGTGACTGCAGGCATGTTAAGGGCAAGAGAAAGAATAGAACGTGCATGGAACAGGTTACTTGAGAGTATGAGCCATAAAGTTCAAGATGGATGTGCTAAGGTATTGGCTCTTAGTTACAATGATTTGCCCATTGCATTAAGGCCATGTTTCTTGTACTTTGGCCTTTTCCCCGAGGACCATGAAACTCGTGCTTTTGATTTGACAAATATGTGGATTGCTGAGAAGCTGATAGTTGTAAATAGTGGCAATATGCGAGAGGCTGATGATTTGGCGGAGGATGTCCTAAATGATTTGGTTTCTAG